CAAGCTCGCCCCATTAATCCATTGCATTTGACTAGTTATTACTTAACATCATTAGAGTATTAATAGGGTTCAATTAACTGCCTCCAATAATTGGGAGAGGGTGTAATTGGTTTAGCAACTGGTTCAGAATCCAGATTGGCAAAAATATCACCTTTAAACAATGATAAATTTAATAGGGATATGTTATTGTCAATCTGCATTCTGAACTGCTATTGTGACTATTACCATAAACAAAAACAAATTGTGGTATGTGAGAACATAAAAGTACATTTTGTTCTCACTCCACCATTGCATGTCACAAATAAGGTCCTGTGCATGAGTAACTACCATGGTTATATATGTATGTATAATCTGTAACAACTAGTGATAATGCTAAAGCATTTGAACCTAGCAAGTACACATTTCTACATGCATAATGCATCTGTCTGTAGACTAAAAATTTCTCACAAACTTTTTTGTGTTAGTATAATTCTTATAAAAATATCTTCCAATGTGTGCATTCAAGAGTGGATATACTTATTATTAATGTAGTGATTAGTGTACTATCAAAGCTGAGAATTATCAAGAGAATTAGAATACGTACATAGCTTATTTTGTAAGTTATTTTTAGTAAAAACATTGAGGATTCTTTAAGGCCAATTTACACTGCAAAATTAACATAAGGTAAGGCCATACGTTAAGACAGAAAGCACTGTATAAACCAATGGCCAAACGTAAGACTAGAGATAATTTCAACTCTTTCGTTACGTTAACGGTGCCCATTGGTTTATACAACACTTCCTGTCTAACGTATAGCCTTACCTTATGTTAATTTTGTAGTGTAAATTGGCCTTTAGTTTACATAACTTAAGTCATCATGGATAACATTGTATAAACAAGTTTCTAGTTCAGTTAGTGTCCAACTTTCTTCCTAACTGGCTACGTTAGTTATGTTGGTTATTTTGCCAATGACAAGTTAGAGTAAACTATGTGTATCACTTAATTGCCTTGAAGTTTCTACACAACTAGTGGTCACACATAACTTAATTACATGTTTTTATAATAGCACTATCGTGGTTTTATATCATCTACCACCTACCCTACTGACTGCTGGTAATAAAGGAGAAAATTAATTTTTGAAGATTTTTAGCAACTGATGAATTTTAGCAAATAGCTATGACAACTGGCTTGTAGCCACTTCACTAACATTCTAAATTTGCTCCCTAAAATAATACTATAGCTATGCAGTAGAGTATTCCAGGAATACTTAGTCTCGCATAGCCAGACCACACACTCCGTGACCAGTTAATGTAGAATCATGACAATATTTGAAATTGAATAGTATTTACAACAAAGGAATGAAAACACATTCAGTTCTGTCACCACATTAGCTGGTCATTTTGGAGGGAAAAATTTTGGTGAATTAGGTGTTTGATAGCTATTCACCAAAATCAACCCATCATTGTGAACCATTATGCACTGACAATATTTGCCTATTGATTTTTACCCCTATGTGATAGCTCTGTTGTTAAAGACTGATATCCAAGTATTTGGAGAACCTATATTTGTAGTACTGTTGATTATATCATCTTTTATTGTCCCTTTTAGACCATACTTTGTTATCTTAATGATGTTTTTATTGCATTTTAAAATTTTTGTAAAGTGCATTATAATACATGTTTCATTGTTTGTTTTCATCATAGCCACTCTTTTACTTTACATTTCCTCCATGATCAAAATTAGTGCAATAGCTCATTCTGACAGAAGCCAGCATTATCTCTACAAGTGTTTCAGTATTGTGACCAGAAAGTATACGGTGAGGCGAAGCATGCATGATTTTTATAAATGTGGTTGCTTGGAATTTATCCTTCTCATCTACTATTCATGGCAACATAGTATCTACCGTAGGGCGTCTTTTTTTGAGGGCTGTAAATTTCGCAAATTTGCCTAAAAATCAATTTCACGGATTTAATTTTTGCAAATTTATGCCGTCTGCCATCTTGTACCGTAATAATTTGATTTTTGCAGAAGTAATTTTTGTAAATCTTCAAGAAATCG